GGTACACGAACGGTCGTAGAGGTGAGGTGAGGTACACGAACAGTCGTAGAGGTGAGGTGAGGTACACGAACAGTCGTAGAGGTGAGGTACACGAACAGTCGTAGAGGTGAGGTACACGAACAGTCGTAGAGGTGAGGTGAGGTACACGAACAGTCGTAGAGGTGAGGTGAGGTACACGAACAGTAGTAGAGGTGAGGTGAGGTACACGAACGGTCGTAGAGGTGAGGTGAGGTACACGAACAGTAGTAGAGGTGAGGTGAGGTACACGAACGGTCGCATATAGAGGTAGGATTCGTGGAGTTGAATTTAATCTGAATAGAAAACGCGAAGTGGACTCTGCAGTGGGCGAGCGGGCAGGCCAGGCGGCCAACACGGCAGTATGGCCTCTGTGGCCGGGGGTGGGAGAGGCGAGGGACGGGGGCCGCGGTAGACAGGTGGAGGCTGGAGGGTGTGGCGAGGAAGACTGAGCCTTGTGGCAGGGGCGCAGAAGGGTGGCCGCCCTCCCCGCCCAGATGAAGATGTCACCCACGGACCACCCAGCTCGCACCCTCCCAGCTACACCACGGATATTCGCCGGGAAAAAAAAGCAACGTCTTGGGGAAGCATTTCATAAGTCAGGGTCGAGTGTAGTGATCGTCTCGAGGTTTATATATAGTTGGTGGAGATGATAAACTCTCAGTGTTCACTGCGGCCTTGTTCTGGCCGGAGCGTGTTCCCGTCCTGCCCTCTTTTACGCCGCCACATTTGCATATGGCAGTAATGAAGGCCGCAGATAATTCACCGTGTATCATTTTTTTCAGAGGGAAGAGGGTTCGGTTCCCCTCCAGCGGCCTCCTCATGACTCATCCTCCGCTCGCATTTTAACGACCAACCTCCCTATAACGAGCACTGTGGTTAATACGGCCAGGCCGCCCCTGCCAGTCACAGGGTTACAGCGGCCGACGCTGGTGACGGGGGAGACGTTCAGGTCAAGGGAACCCCTTGGTGATGGCGCCTCCACCCTGTGTGGTGGGTGGCGGACTGTCCGCCTTGCTGACACCATGTGTGGCCAGCTGGTGCCATGTGTGGCCAGCTGGTGCCATGTGTGGCCAGCTGCTACCATGTGTGGCCAGCTGACACCATGTGTGGCCAGCTGGTGCCATGTGTGGCCAGCTGCTGCCATGTGTGGCCAGCTGCTACCATGTGTGGCCAGCTGGTGCCATGTGTGGCCAGCTGGTACCATGTGTGGCCAGCTGCTGCCATGTGTGGCCAGCTGGTACCATGTGTGGCCAGCTGCTGCCATGTGTGGCCAGCTGGTACCATGTGTGGCCAGCTGGTGCCATGTGTGGCCAGCTGGTACCATGTGTGGCCAGCCGGTACCATGTGTGGCCAGCTGGTGCCATGTGTGGCCAGCTGGTACCATGTGTGGCCAGCTGGTGCCATGTGTGGCCAGCTGGTGCCATGTGTGGCCAGCTGCTACCATGTGTGGCCAGCTGGTACCATGTGTGGCCAGCTGGTACCATGTGTGGCCAGCTGGTACCATGTGTGGCCAGCTGGTGCCATGTGTGGCCAGCTGGTACCATGTGTGGCCAGCTGGTACCATGTGTGGCCAGCTGGTGCCATGTGTGGCCAGCTGGTACCATGTGTGGCCAGCTGGTACCATGTGTGGCCAGCCGGTACCATGTGTGGCCAGCTGGTACCATGTGTGGCCAGCTGGTACCATGTGTGGCCAGCTGGTACCATGTGTGGCCAGCTGACACCATGTGTGGCCAGCTGCTACCATGTGTGGCCAGCTGGTACCATGTGTGGCCAGCTGGTACCATGTGTGGCCAGCTGACACCATGTGTGGCCAGCTGGTACCATGTGTGGCCAGCTGACACCATGTGTGGCCAGCTGGTACCATGTGTGGCCAGCTGGTACCATGTGTGGCCAGCTGCTACCATGTGTGGCCAGCTGGTACCATGTGTGGCCAGCTGGTACCATGTGTGGCCAGCTGGTACCATGTGTGGCCAGCTGGTACCATGTGTGGCCAGCTGGTACCATGTGTGGCCAGCTGGTACCATGTGTGGCCAGCTGGTACCATGTGTGGCCAGCTGACACCATGTGTGGCCAGCTGACACCATGTGTGGCCAGCTGACACCATGTGTGGCCAGCTGACACCATGTGTGGCCAGCTGACACCATGTGTGGCCAGCTGCTACCATGTGTGGCCAGCTGCTACCATGTGTGGCCAGCTGGTACCATGTGTGGCCAGCTGGTACCATGTGTGGCCAGCTGGTACCATGTGTGGCCAGCTGGTACCATGTGTGGCCAGCTGACACCATGTGTGGCCAGCTGCTATCATGTGTGGCCAGCTGACACCATGTGTGGCCAGCTGACACCATGTGTGGCCAGCTGACACTATGTGTGGCCAGCTGACACCATGTGTGGGTGAGGGGGGAGGATGTGTGGGGAGAGGGGGGGCGGATGTGTGGGGTGAGGGAGGGTGGATGTGTGGGGTGAGGGGGCGGATGTGTGGGGTGAGGGGGGAGGATGTGTGGGGTGAGGGAGGGCGGATGTGTGGGGTGAGGGGGGGCGGATGTGTGGGGTGAGGGGGGGCGGATGTGTGGGGTGAGGGGGGGCGGATGTGTGGGGTGAGGGGGGGCGGATGTGTGGGGTGAGGGGGGAGGATGTGTGGGGTGAGGGGGGGCGGATGTGTGGGGTGAGGGGGGAGGATGTGTGGGGTGAGGGGAGAGGATGTGTGGGGTGAGAGGGGGCGGATGAGTGCGGTGAGGGTGGCGGATGTGTGGGGTGAGGGGGGAGGATGTGTGGGGTGAGGGGGGGCGGGATGTGTGCGGTGAGGGGGGAGGATGTGTGCGGTGAGGGGGGAGGATGTGTGGGGTGAGGGGGTAGGATGTGTGGGGTGAGGGGGGGCGGATGTGTGGGGTGAGGGGGGGGGGCGAGAGTGGGCCCCAATGAGCGAGAGGGAGAGAGGGGGAGCAACAATGAGAGCGGCGCCATGTGCTCTGGGAACACCAGGAAGCAATGAGTGAAATGGTTCAATTTCTCACCAACGGCACTTGTACATCATTTACCTCACACATCCTCCAGGGCCAGCCTCCACCACTCACTAACCTCACACATCCTCCAGGGCCAGCCTCCACCACTCACCAACCTCACACATCCTCCAGGGCCAGCCTCCACCACTCACCAACCTCACACATCCTCCAGGGCCAGCCTCCACCACTCACTAACCTCACACATCCTCCAGGGCCAGCCTCCACCACTCACCATCCTCACACATCCTCCTGGGCCAGCCTCCACCACTCACCAACCTCACACATCCTCCAGGGCCAGCCTCCACCACTCACCATCCTCACACATCCTCCTGGGCCAGCCTCCACCACTCACCATCCTCACACATCCTCCTGGGCCAGCCTCCACCACTCACCAACCTCACACATCCTCCAGGGCCAGCCTCCACCACTCACCATCCTCACACATCCTCCTGGGCCAGCCTCCACCACTCACCAACCTCACACATCCTCCAGGGCCAGCCTCCACCACTCACCATCCTCACACATCCTCCTGGGCCAGCCTCCACCACTCACCATCCTCACACATCCTCCTGGGCCAGCCTCCACCACTCACCAACCTCACACATCCTCCAGGGCCAGCCTCCACCACTCACCATCCTCACACATCCTCCTGGGCCAGCCTCCACCACTCACCAACCTCACACATCCTCCTGGGCCAGCCTCCACCACTCACCATCCTCACACATCCTCCTGGGCCAGCCTCCACCACTCACCAACCTCACACATCCTCCTGGGCCAGCTTCCACCACTCACCAACCTCACACATCCTCCTGGGCCAGCCTCCACCACTCACCATCCTCACACATCCTCCAGGGCCAGCCTCCACCACTCACACATCCTCCTGGACAAGCCTCCACCACTCACCAACCTCACACATCCTCCTGGGCCAGCCTCCACCACTCACCAACCTCTCACATCCTCCTGGGCCAGCCTCCACCACTCACCAACCTCTCACATCCTCCTGGGCCAGCCTCCACCACTCACCAACCTCACACATCCTCCTGGGCCAGCCTCCACCACTCACCAACCTCTCACATCCTCCTGGGCCAGCCTCCACCACTCACCAACCTCACACATCCTCCTGGGCCAGCCTCCACCACTCACCAACCTCACACATCCTCCTGGGCCAGCCTCCACCACTCACCAACCTCACACATCCTCCTGGGCCAGCCTCCACCACTCACCAACCTCACACATCCTCCTGGGCCAGCCTCCACCACTCACCAATCTCACATCCTCCTGGGCCAGCCTCCACCACTCACCAACCTCACACATCCTCCTGGGCCAGCCTCCACCACTCACCAACCTCATACATCCTCCTGGGCCAGCCTCCACCACTCACCAACCTCACACATCCTCCTGGGCCAGCCTCCACCACTCACCAACCTCACACATCCTCCTGGGCCAGCCTCCACCACTCACCAACCTCACACATCCTCCTGGGCCAGCCTCCACCACTCACCATCCTCACACATCCTCCTGGGCCAGCCTCCACCACTCACCATCCTCACACATCCTCCTGGGCCAGCCTCCACCACTCACCAACCTCACACATCCTCCTGGGCCAGCCTCCACCACTCACCATCCTCACACATCCTCCTGGGCCAGCCTCCACCACTCACCAACCAAGAAGGGGATTAACCGTTCACTGTGTTTACTCTTTTTGCCGCGCAGAATCTTGTTGACAATGAGGCTCGCCAGTTGCCTCCTGCATGTTATATTTAGAGAAAAAGGAAACACGCTTATAACAGAGTTTGTGTCAGTTGGGGCTAAGGCGTGGAGCCCGTCCGCCTCACTCCGCAGCGTCCTAGTTACATTTGCTCGTGTGTTTTGTAGGAGGAGGGCGGGTGTTTGATGGGGCACGGTGTATGGTGAGGGCTGCACGAGGTGTAGAGGGCACGGGGTGAGGGGAACCGCCGCCCTCCCCTCTCTCAAAGCCCCTCACTAGCGTCCACAATTTAGAAATTGTCGTAGCTCTGGCGGCGCCACTTGTGCGGCCGCGAGGTGGGTGGCCCACACTCAGGCGGCCCCGTTGCCATGACGACGAGGCTGGACCAATGAGGGCGGGGGTGGGCGGGGCTCCGGAGGCCCCCGCCCCCCGCCGCTGGCCCACAAGACAACGTTGTCCGGCCGCATCGTTTAGTTGACGCATGTTGGTCTGGTGGTGCGGATCGTCGCGCAGCGGGTGTTGTGCGTGCTGTGTAGTGAGTGCCAGGTGTCATGTGGCAGGGATGGGGGCCGACGACCCCCATGTCTTAACCTGCTGCCCCATTGTGTCTGGTGGGGGCTCAGCCGCAGCAGGCGCGGCTCTCCAGTGAATTGTGTGGTGTGACATGGCCATCGCCGTGGGAGGCAAAGAAAGTGTTGGTGAGGGCGGCGTGTGGGCGTCCGGGTCCCGCCCGCATGAAGACTTGTGCACCAGAACTAGCTGGGCGGACGCCCGCACCGCCCTCGCCCATATTAACAAGGTAAGTCCACCTCTGAGGCCATTGTTGGCGTCCGCCGTCCGCCCAGCCCTCGCTAGCCCGGCCCGGCGCCCCTCTCTGCCCCTTGAGGGCTGAGTGGTGTGGGCGGCCCTCACTCCTGCCTCCTGACGGACGCCCACCACGAGCACCCACCACCACCACCACTACTGTAGGTGCTGCTGGTGGTGGAGTGACCCGCGAGGCTGCCACTCTCTCCCTCTCTCTCCCTCACACACTCACACACTCACTCTCTCTCCCGCGCGTGTGTTGTGGCGCCACCCTCCCTCCCTCCCTCCTCCACCCTCCTCCGCCTCCCTTCTAGTACTATAGTCGTAATGGCTTGGCGCTTTCTCCTGATCATTCCCTTTCCTTCCGCCTCTCTCCCTCCTCCACCACACCTTCGTCTCCACCTTCATCCTCCCTCCTCCACCACCACCATCCTCCACCACACCACCATCCCCTACCTCACCACCATCCTCCACCACACCACCACCATCCTCCACCAGCACCATCCTCCACCACCACCATCCTCCACCACACCACCATCCACCACCACCACCATCCTCCACCACACCACCATCCTCCACCACACCACCATCCTCCACCACCACCATCCTCCACCACACCACCATCCTCCACCTCCGTGCCGTAGGCTTGCTCCATGATGGTCACTTCACACACCATACCCGCACCATCACCACCTCCTCTATTATTACTAGTCTCTTCCAGCAATTTTCAATGCTCTCACTATCTCACTATCACCATAACCAAGACCTCTACCCTCGCCATCACTATCTCCTCTGCCAGTAGTCAAGGCCCAGTGGCCCAACCACAACCCTCATCATCACATTCACTATCATGACACCATCTGTTGCCATCACCATCTTCACGGTGATATCATCCCCACCATCACTCCCTCTATCACCACTATCTCTCCATAAAATCCCATCACCATCAAGACCTTTACTGTCACCTCCTTCATCACCTTCACTATCCTGAACACCATTTGTGCTGGCTATCGTCACCCTTCCTCACCATACCCTGTATAAACAACATCTCATCACCAACATTCTGGCCATCACTACCAACACCATCTTCACAACCAATCATTTTTCCACTATCATCATCATCCTGACTACTATCCTCACTATCCCCCACCATCACCACCACTAGCCCTATCCTGTCCACGACTATCGTCCCGTCACAATTTCTGGCAGCTAAGATGTGTGATACTACTACGTTATTGGTCTAATATTGTTGGCTATGGTTAGTCTCGTGAGTTTAGCTAAGCTTCAGCTCCTGGGCTGGGTGTGTTTGTGGTAGGACTTAATCCTGCTAACTTGATCATTGCTAACTCTTTAGCTAGAGTATTTTATAGATCAGTTAAGATCGCATTTATATTGTTCTCGAAGGTGCTGGCCGTCAGCTCCGGGACCAGTGTGGTGGTGGACCTGGAGACTCTCCAGGTTCCTGAGCCCAGTGTGCTGGGGCAACATTCACACTCATTGGTTTTGTAGGTGAGATATTTACAGTCTTTAATGATATTACAATTATTGTATGTGGTCCATAGTGATTGTTGAGTAGGCTGTTAATGAGTGGTATACCCGTCCGAGGAGAGGTGTGGTGTAATGTGTACTCCCAGGCCCGTATACCTACTGATCCACGCTGCATTACTTTGGTAAACTCCAGCAAACATTTGCTTTGCCACTTTTGCTTCCTCTCCAGATCTGCCTCCATTTTACAGCAGTCGTCTTGCTTTCTTATTGTTCTTGTCAGTGTTGGAGGCCAATAAATAATTACATGGTAGAGAGCCTCCCTGCTGGCGCGTCTTGTGGAGGAAGTTGTCAGGCCTGGCGCCAGGCGGCGCTGGGGCAGAGGGACAACTCCACTCAACTCTCTCCTTACATTTCTCCACTGATGTTTCAGCACTAGGCTTGCTTACTCTCAGGTACATCATTATCCGCAGCCTCGGCTACCCTCTCACCCTAGCCAGCGTCTACATTTGATATCACTCACTTGGGGCGCTCTCCCAAGCATTACTCTCCAGTAATGTGCCGCGTGTTCACTCCTCTGTGATCTGTGCATGTGTACTCTCTTAGATGTGCTCTCAGAGGCGAGCGTCTCTTCTCAAACCCTGCATTACTTCTCTACTGTTGTGTGTGTACTCGACTAAATTTGGCTGCAAGTTGAGCTTAAGCTCTTGGGTCCCTCTTTTTAGTTCTGATGCAAAAATTATCACGCATTATTATCTTACCTGTTTTTTTAATTGTGTATGAATATCACCTCAGCTGTTTTTTAACCCCTATTTATTCAAGTTTATCTCTAGTATATGTTGGGCTGCGTGAATGTTTGCTTGCTGGACTGTGACGTCTGGCTCCCCAGCTCCCCTCTACTCTCATGTCCTTCTTGCTAAACTGAAGCATCTTTACCCCATCATTGTGGACCCTCTGTAGAATGTTGTTTGCTTCCTGTGTGTGATTCCCTGAGCCTTCTCTCACAGCACTGTGAGAGCACCGCTCACGCTCCCCAACACCTTCTCTCACAGCACTGTGAGAGCACCGCTGACGCTCCCCAACACCTTCTCTCACAGCACTGTGAGAGCACCGCTGACGCTCCCCAACACGTTATACGTGTTAGTGGCTTCGCTACAATGTAACAACACTCATTATGGATTTTTATAACCCAATGTACCTTATTGTATATAAATAAATAAATAAATAAATAGAACACAAATAAATCATTGTGTTCTTCGGAGTCCAGTCAGTCTTTTCCCGTAGCTTATTCCTCTCGGCTCCGGGACCAGTCTTGTCTCTTGTGCTCGTTCTAGTCTTCTTAAGGTGAAAATTGGACGCTGGCGCTGCATATTTAAGTACATTACGTTAGTAGGTCATCCTCATGTCACTCCTCACACTCATTACGTCGTATTTGTTACGGAATGGACCCATCCATTAAAAGAGTGACTTAGTAGTAAAATATTTAGCACCTTAATACTGACTTTCTATGCATCGGCGTCGATAGGGTTGGTGGGTTGCTTGGGTTCGTACGTTTCTGGTTAAGCGAAAATATGTTTTTTTTTTTTTTACAGAGTGGCAAATTGACAGAACGGACTTGTTCATCAGCCTCGCTTAAGCTGATATTCTATTGGTGCGCACCTTTGGTAGAGTTTGCCTCTGTTCCTAGGGAGGTGTTTCTCTCACTGTACTGCTAGTAGGTCTCTTCTCACCGAATACTGTTCCTATTACCTTGCACTTGTTAGGGTTCACGTTTAGTAGCCATCTTTCTGACCAGCTCAGAAGTTGGCGCAAGTCCTAAGCATTCACCAGTTCACCGCCTGTCCCCCATTAAACAGCCTCTCTCTCTCTGCGTCCAATTCAGTAATCACCAAGCCTCTCCAGCCTGCCCCTGGAGCTGGAGCAGTAGCCGCTGTGAGATCATCTCTCAATATAGGATGATGTAGGAGGCTCATCCTTCTCCTGCCTCTCTGGACCGTCACTTCAGCACTATAGTAATGCATGATGGCACTGCTATATATCCTCTATTCATTGTTTGTTAAATAATTCAATTCTTGCTGTCATTTATATTTTTTCCTTTCTGTCATTCCACCATCAAAATGTTATTAATGATTTCGTTCTTGCTAGTCATTGTTGGTTAAGATGAGGCATTGAATGTTTTTTTTTTATTCTTTTTCGCCAGGAGGGACGCCTCCACAGGGGTCTTGAGCTATAATTCATACGACAGACTACACACAGCTGCGTCTAACAGCCTGGTTGACCTGACTTATGACCCAGCGTATACCAGTTACGACTGAGTACACTGTGACATAACTATATTGACCAATTGTACATATATTTACTTATATATCCGGTATAGTAATCACTATAGTGTTATACATATGCAGATGTATATGTTTGTGGCGCCAAAGTAACTATTTTTTTTCTACACACACACATCCCCAGGAAGCAGCCCGTAGCAGCTGTCTAACTCCCAGGTACCTATTTACTGCTAGAGCGCTGTCCACTCAGCCACCAGCCCCCCTAAGGCTGGTGTGTGTGTGTGATTTAAAATTATCATTTGTTTATTTTAGAAGGTGCCACAGTAAGAGGTAGACTTTTGTCTCCCCCCCCCCCCCCCCCGGCTCCCCCAGCCGCCTGCAGCCCGTGTCCGTCAGCACCTGGAGCCGTGTGTACCATATATAAAGGTCGGGGAGTTGGGCGGCATCTGCCAGTCGTGGTGCTTGCTGGGGCGGCGGCAGAGTCGCTCACCTCTTCTCTCCACCAATGGATTACTAAATCTGGTTATAAAGTGTATTTCGTTCTTGCCATAGTCTTCCCGCGGATGAAGTTCCGTTCATCCAACTTGCTCGCTGGTACTCAACTGAGGGAGTGCTTTCTTATATCCATCTCTCAAGTGTTTATAATTTCCGTCTGTAGCCTCTGTTTCTCATCGATTGCTCATTTTCACCCTCTATATTTTAAGTTTAGATTTTAAAGTGATTTATTATAGTTGTACTTGAGCAATATATAAGAAGCGAGCCACCCTATGGCGTTATGTTAGTGATAATCTCAGATTCTCCGTGGTTCCTTAGCTGCTCGAATTTTTATAGTGGAGGGAAAGTCCATTTGGTCGTCCACAATATTTCTCAATTACTCTTATGTTCAGCTTGGGTATATGTGCCCTGACTATTGGTATGTCATTGTCCACCGACTCCAGTTCCCGCTCTTGCTGTGTACTCACTGCCTCCAGACCCATCAGGTGCCGTCTGTCCTGCTTGCTACCTGCTTGATGGGGTTCTGGGAGTTCTTCTACTCCCCCAGCCCGGCCTGAGGCCAGGCTTAACTTGTGAGAGCTTGGTCCACCAGGCTGTTGCACTCCGGCACTAGTCTTGTGACGGCTCCCTAGCCCCTCTCCCTGTAGGCTGTGTGTGCTTCACTAGAGGGAGGCTCCACTCTGGCGCAACACCAATCCCCAACTGCTGTATGATGTATGATGAATGACTTATTTAA